AATTCTCATTTAAAATTCGCGCGCTGTATATTTTTCGATATTTTAAGTTTATGTAGTTTGGCAGCACTGTCCTTAATTACTATGCCAAAAATGAGCTCGATCTGTCAGACAGTTCGTTTACGGCAGCTGTTGAAACCAGTTCACCTCAGTAGTGCGTTGCGAAATGTCTTCGACGGTCGTACGACCGTCCTGGAAGGCTTTGTACCACTCATAAACTTGAGTTTTCGATAAAACTGATTCCCCATAAGCCTTTTGTAGCATTCGCAACGATTCTGCACACGAAATTTCGTTCGAAACACAAAATTTGATGCAAACTCTTTGTTCAATATTTTTTTCCATTGTTTTTTTCGCAACGCCCTACTGAGGTGAACTGGTTTCAACAGCTGCCGTAAACGAACTGTCTGACAGATCGCGCTCATTTTTGGCATAGTAATTAAGGACAGTGCTGCCAAACTACATAAACTTAAAATATCGGAAAATATACAGCGCGCGAATTTTAAATGAGAATTTCCGAAAGCTTTTCGGTTAATGTATAAAAAATGTTCTAAAGGTTTTTTAAAACAATTTCAATAAATTCGAAAATTTAAAAACTTTTTTAGGTATTTAAAAATGTTGATATGACATTCAATGACAATGTTGGGAAAAATACTTAAATAAATATGCAGTGTAGGTTATTTTTTTTTTCTTCTTAGATTTTTATTGTATAAGCAATATGAGCAAAAATGTTTATTATTTCATTAAATTGTTAAAATAAATATATATTTGTACTATATACTATATATTTTATATGTGGAGGTTTCAAAAAAGAATGCGCGTTGAAACATTGTAAATATTTGGGGTGTGAGTATATAAATAATTATTGTATATTTTTATAAGTTCAAATTATTAAGAGTCATAATAATTAGTAAATTAACATATTTATAATTTTATATTCATCAAAATTCTGCCAATAATTTATGTTTGTTAAGTATGTGAAGTACATGCCCACGTAACACAATTTTTCATTTTATTCTGTACTTTAAAAGTTCTAAATATTTTTTATATAAAGGGTGCAACAATTTTAAGTTTCAAATTTAAGCAACTGTTAAATGTTAAAAAAATAAAAAAATATCATTTGACATTTGTAAAGGGTAAAGATGAAAAGTTTCCATCATGGAAAACCACACATGCCAAAACATTCTTGCGAATAAACAGAAACAAAACAGAAGCATTCTCTATAAAGGAACAAAGGCAAATTAAAAGGTGATCGAAAAGATATATATTATCATTTTTGAAGAACAGCAAAACTCAAATGGAAATCTACAATGGCTGTAAAAAATCAAATCTAAACTAAATAGGCCAAGAGCTACAATATTTAGAGAACTAGAAAACTACTGTGCAGAACCAAGAAAGTGGTGACCAGTGGAAAACTATGACCTGGAATGATGTAGCTGCAGATAAGATATAGAAACAATTATCAATTACTTGCCTGGCCCACCAGTATATTATGCCATAACTCTCCATTATGAAAGTAAATAAAATATAAACCTGTCGTACATCCCAAACATAAATCCTTAAATCATTATTTAACGGTGCTCGTTACTTAAAGAACTGAGATCAGCAAAACAGTGCCGATTCGCTACTTGGACAGAAGAAGAAACTCCTCTATCGTACTACAAACAACCAACCGAAACATTCATTTATTATGAAAATATTATAAGAACTGAAGATAAATTAATCATTTTAGTAATAATTTTCGTCAAAATTTAATATAATCATAGATGGTTCAAGAGCTATGACACTAAACTTACTTACAATAATAAATACATATGTGCGGTCGACATTTGCGTCGATTACGCATATATGAACGTTACAATAGTTTAATTCTAATTATCACTACTGTAAGAGAGAACTCTGAAACTACTATTCGTCATCGTGATAAAGAGAATTGAATAAAAACAATTTTTTCTAATTTATATTTTCTAAAAAATAAAATTATTAATTTTAAATAAAATAGAATGTTGTTTTTGAAAAGACTACAAACTCCAACACACCAAAACAAAGTACCAAAAAAAATCATGGCAGGAGCTAATGATCTAACATTAGGACTGTGTGTGAATAGTAACTAAATTAAGACTTCTAGATCTAAATTATTTTAGATAATTGGAATAAAATCGTTATAAACATTAAATTAACAAAATGGACTGAAATTTCTTAGCATATTTTGAGTAAATTTTCGAGAGTTTGAGTTTCTATTAGAAAATATGGATCCTTTTTCGTCATAATTGACTTTAAAAATCATATTTATTACAATAAATAATCAATAACATTAACTAATAAATGTTGTAAGTATTAATATTATTGACAAAATTTTTATTTTGAATTGAAATTATTGTATGTGAAATATATTTTTAAGCATTTTATGATAAGAGAAAGAATGGGTTAACGCAAAAATGGGTTTGAATAGTTTAGAACTTAGAAGAAGAGAATAACATTAAATTTTACAATTCACACACAGCTAATATATTAAGATAATCAAAATTAATATTAAAATCAAATTATTTCAACTTTTCTTTAACACTCAAAATTGTTTTTTACTTGAAAATTTCTAATTTTTATATTATGTTTTAAATGCAGTTAGCTAGCACTTTTTACTTTCTATTCATTCTTTTTATCTGAAGCAATTTTTTTTATTATTTTTGAGTCTCGTTAGCTACTTTAGTAGTTTTTTTTACTGTATTTCATTCATAGAAACAAGAACACATCTACCAATAATTCCAATTTTATATTTATTTTCCAAATTTTTTTTATATATTTTATATATTTAGTTTATATATAAAGATTTATTCTTTATAAACATAAACATTACTTACAGTATTAGTTGAACTTAGTTATTGTAACTTCACTATTAATTTATTTGTATTTCACAGTCTTTTCTATGGATTTCAAATTTTAACATTAAATTAACATTATAATTAAGAACTTTTAATTAAAAATATTTTAACACACTTAAATAAAATAATACTAGTCTCTATTTAAACTGTTAAGGTACAAGGACTGACAATGTCTGATGGCAGTCTAAAATTTGGCATCTATTTAAGCGAATTTTAACAATGAAAAAAACACATATCATTAATATCTGGAAATGCCCAAAACAGTTGCATAGTTGGGACTATAATTTTTTGGTACAGGTAGTTTAATATATACGAATATATTCGACAGTATACGAAACAAGTCAAAAGTTAACCCAAAATTATATTTAATTGTAACAGGTACTGGAATATATACAAATAATTTAACTTAAATCCTCTTATATTACAACATGACTTAAAATGCATATTTCGGAGAATCTCCAGCAGATGTTCGGTTAGCTAAAAATTTAATTCAACTATCGTCAATTGCATCAGGTAGTTTTGACAGTAGTCAATACTTGAAAACACATCGTCACGGATTATAAATAAAAATCTAATGCAATCACATTTTCGGCTAACTGAAATTCCATTGAATTTAAATTGAATTTTTCGTTCAAGAAAATGAACTCCTATTTTTTCTTTGAATGGTTTTAGGTTATTTGGAGCCTGTTGAGCTCATATTAGTAACCTTTTTTCTCCTAGACATCTGGTCTATGGCAATAATATTCATAAATAGAGGTTATAAAGGGTTAATAAAATATTTTTATTTTAAGAGACATCCTTCCTAAAATTTCATGCTGACCTTAAATTAACTTAAAATCATTGAAAAATTAAAAAAAAATGGATTGTGGCAATTATAAGAATTACTAATGTTGATACCAGTAATAGGCTTACAAATAGAAAATTGAAGTGTATATTTTGGCATTATAATAAAGACTTCATATTATGTATTTGTGTAGATTAGTACCTAAGTAACATAGTGACGTGCTAGCTTTGACGTTGAAAAGTGGTGTTCATATAGACACAATTCTTTTGTTCAAACATGAAACAAATGAAATTCTTTAGTTTATATATTTATTTATATAAATTTTGAAACGAGAGCATGAAATTTGCTTTTATAATTTCTCAAAAAAAGTTATACAGTAATGTCCAGTTCTTAATAAACTGTAAAAACATTCAAAATACATCCTATAATTCAACAATTTAATTACACTTTCATTTAGAAGTGTCGGTGTGAACACCACTTTAATCGATCATTAGTCATTAAAGTTGTCAATTAAATTATAGTTATTTAGAACTTATTATTTTATATTTAATTGGTATAAAATATTTTTTTTATTTGTATAAAAATAATATTAAAATTTTATTTTTCTAATTATAAGATAAAAAGTAATTTCGTTAAGCAAAAATTGTTTTCATGAGTAATGAAACACCCTTTATATCATATACCCATATCTGAATAATAGGTAAAAATGTTTAAGACAAAACAGATACATTTTCTTTACTTATATAAGGTAATTTAAAAATAGGTGGGCGTACTGTAAATGGTAAATTCAAGGTTATGATTGATAAAGTAACACACTTAAAGTGAAATATTAAAAAAAATATTTTTTTTTTTAAACGAAAATATTAACAGTGACTTCATTTTTGGAATAATTTATGTGTGGTATCTTCATTGTAAAACTTCAATTTAAGTTATTTCAACATTTTCTTAATACAATTTCCAGTTAAGTAAAGAAGTAAAACCACATTTTTAAGAAATTCTTTACTTTTTCCAATGAAAGTAGCACACACACAAGATACTTAGACTAGCTTTAATGCAATGCAGCCAAGTTGTTTTTTGGCTGTATCTGCTGCGGTTATTACATCAAGACCCACTTTATGCTTCCTTCTTATGCTTTCTTTATAGCATTTTCCATAAACATAAAAAACTCATTTAGTTTTTTAGTTGTATTTTTGCCAGACAAATATTTCGAATAAGTAAAGTGAAATCTAGAGAGTTGCATAAAATGTTATTAACTACATCTTCTATAAGATTTATATTATTACTGAGCTCTATGATTTATTTTTATGCTTCCAAAAGAAGAGTAAAGATTCTTCTTTCAATTCCTTTCCGATAAGTTTATTTATATCGCTCCAATTAATAGATACTTAGACTAATTCAGTATATAAACTGTTTCTTAAGCATTAAATGTGTTAGAAAGTGGCTAAGGAAGATACTATTAATTCTGTACTGTAATACTAGTATAGTTTTAGATTCTTTATCTCATTTCAAAAATGAAGTACAATGTATGTTTAGGTTATACCGGTGATCCAAAGGATCCACTTAGTCCTATTCGCCCATTGTGTTACCGTTTCAAAAAAATCAAAGGTTTAATCATCTTTAAACTTTGACATATCTTATAATAGGAGTGAGAGATCGTGGAGTTGGTCAAGCTCCTCAAAAAAAGAGGCATGTAAACGACGCCGCGTATATGGTAAACAATAACAACGCAAATGTGAGGCATTTTCAGCGTACTGTCTACAATTGCGTCATGAATGACTGAAAGGGATATGAAAAAACTATATCTTTACAGCGTATCTCCATAAGATTACTGGACATCTTGTTAAGAGATGTTTTGAAATCAAAAATCGATTAGAAATCTTAAAATTTAAAACATTCAGATATTACAAACTGATTTGGCATATATTAATTAGTGCACATATATTGTTTACATCTCTTTTACATTTCGAAAATTTTATAGATACACATATACATACATATATGTACATAAAAAAAGTTGAAATCGAAATAGTTTCAACTTGCCAAAAACTGTATCTTATAAAGCCTGCATAAAATAAAAATGCTTAAAGCTATGAAAACCCGGCGTTTGACTATTAACTTGGTGATTTCCATACTCCCCATAAAATTTGTCGTTGCCTTTTATGTTACTTTATATTTTATTATCAATATAAAATTAAAGTCGAAATATTCATGGTTATAGGAAAAAATAAAGGAAGCAAGCAAGAAGTAGTTATGGTTGGTGCGACGAAAGGCATCTCTAACAAAATAAGGAGTGGAAAAAGAAACAACATAATGTTAGAAATATCATTAAAGGCATATCCAATATAATAATAAGTGGAGAAGTAATAAGTGTTAGAGATCGCACAAAAGGCATCTTTAACAAAATAAGTGGAAATAGAAAGGACACAATCTTGGAGATCGCATGAAACGCATCTTCAACAAACTTATAAGTGGAAATAGAGAGGGCATAATGTTGGAGATCGCACGAAAGGCACCTCTAACAAAATAAGGAGTGGAAATACAAATGACATAATGTTAGAAATATCAGTAAAGGCATCTATAATAAAATAAAAAGTGCAGAAATACGTGTTAGAGATCGCACAAAAGGCATCTTTAACAAAATAAGTGGAAATAGAAAGGACACAATGTTGGAGATCGCACGAAACGCATCTTCAACAAACTTATAAGTGGAAATACAGGAGATATAATGTCACAGATCTCACAAAAGGAATCTCTAACAAAATAATAAGTAGAAATACAGAGTGATACAACCATGGCAATAATAAAATTAAAAGTTTACGCCTCAATAAATACTGGTTATTCATTACAGAACTGAAAAAATAATGGCTTAAGAAAAAAATTTGTAGAATTATTTTATGGTAGGTCATAGTAGAGCAAAGTGTGCTGAAAAGGACAGAACAACAAAATAAACCAGTTGTGAAAGCGGTTAATGCATTATCTTAGTTTGTTTTAGTTTAGACATTAATAAGTAGTTCCCTATTCAAAAGTATTCTAAATTCTCCAGTTGTTATTAGTTCCCAATCAATTTATCATAATAATACTACTTACGATGATATCATAGATTTCAAATGAAATTTTAAATATTTTGATATATTTTATTATTGTTTATGGTGCAAAATTGATCAAAGATAAGGCCTAATAAAATGACTAATACTAAAATGGACTAAACTAAAACCATATTTCTAAATATATAGCATCAACGTGCGTCATAAAGTGCTTTAAAGTAGCATTCCACAAATACGGTTAATACATAAAAACAAATCTAAATACTTATATGAACTATATCTATACTATATCTATATCTATATATATAATTAATATACTAACTTAAATTCTAATTTTTAATACTAATACACATTAAATAGAATAATAAATAATTTAATAATGATTCATATCAAAAATAAGCTTAAAAATTTTTATCTATATATTTATTAATTATTTTTTCTATTATATACTTGTCATATAAAAATTTTTAAGTAAAAAAATTGCAATACTAATAAAATAATATAATTGTATTTTTCAGCAGTTTTTACTAAAAACTAAGAAAAAAATTCAATTGAAAAGAGAGATAGAAAAACATATTTAGACACTAAACTAAGTTCGTAACGATCAAAACAAACCAAACGGTAAAATATTCTTCAAATGAAAAATCAATAAAATTCACTAACACATTTAAAATAGTAGAAAATACGATAAACCAAACAAAATCATAAAATACTAACTATTTAGTTTCGTTGTAGAGAGGAGGAGGAGGAGTAACGAAAAAAGATAATTAATATGAAAATTTGAAAGAAAAAACTTACCGTTTGTTTTGGCGTCTTGTAGCAATGTTTAATGCCGTTTCTGTACAAAAAAAACTGACAAAATTTTGTTCAACCTTTCCCTTCCCCTCCCTTTTCGTTGTACTCCGCGTGTTTGTTGTTTTTGTGTTGTCCGTTTGCACTATACGCTTTTCTTTGCAGTTAATTTCGCTGTCTTTAGCAATTTTTTTTTTGTATATTTTAGTTTTTGTTTTCAGTTAGTCATAAATGATTTTTATTACAAAAAACAAAAATATATAAACACAAAATTTATTGCCGCTCTGCGACAAATTCGCAAAACAAACACAAATTTTTTAAATTTTCTTTTTTTTTCTGATTGAAATACAACTGAAAAAGAAGGAATAAATTAGAAATTATTATTAAACACAGAAAACAAAGCCGCCAAAATATTTTCTTTTTTACTTTACAAAGAAATAAAAAAGTATTTCACGCCGCCTATTTACAAATTTCCACACGCACTTTTTTTTTGTAACAAAAAGAAATATAAAAAAAACGCGAAAATATTATAAATATGAGAATTTGTTAAATTTTTGAATCTACTATTTTCTTAAAAAGAAAATAATTATTTTTGAATTTCAATTTAACACCAAATAAACTTCATTTTAAAATTTTTCACTTTGTCTACTTTGATCAAAACAATAAAAATAATGAAAGGAAAAATTTTGGTACAAGTGCACTTTTTTGCATGTAGAGAATTTTATTTTATTTTAACACAATATTTGCTTACTCCTTCTATTTTAAATCTGTTTACAAATAGTTTTGTAAATTTATATTTGAAGTACAACTTCAAAGTGATTTATAAACATATTATTGTAATAAATTTTAATAAAAAATATAATTTTTCATTTATAATTTAATGAAACGGGCGTCGACTAAACGAATTCACACAAGAGAATGCAAATTTTTCTGCCGCACAAAGTAATAGTGCTACCAGATTATATTTAATAGAAGTTGTAGAAATTATGTGGATTACATTGTGGAAGAAATTAATACTAAAAAATTATGTTACCAAATGAACAGATTTGTTAAACTTATATATGAAACAAATTATTTTTTTTAATATATGCAAAAAAATAATATATTAAAAATATTTTATTAAAGGCAATACTCAACAAATATGCTTATATAAAACGATAAATGAAATATAAAATTTTTATGGTTTAATATAATATGAAATTTTCTTACCACTTGGTCTGGCAGCACATATTTATAATAGACATGAGAAGTGGATTGTGGATGATGAAGTGTAAAATGTAAAATGGAAGAAAGTTAATATAGAAATGCATGATAAATCCACGCCGTTCAAAGTATGTTTAACGATTTTCACGATATTTTATCATAATATAAACTGCTAAATATCTATAACTTTTTTATATACAAAAATTTTTAAATTATTCACATAATAATATTAGGCAGAAATATATGCAATTTGAAATAAAATTGTCAAATAAATCTTATATAGTTTTAATATCTTCAATTGTCTTATAGATCTCTTATTAAATATTATTTTTTATAACTTATTAATATTCATTATTATTTGAACTTTTTTGTATGGAAGTTTTGTAAATAGTTTTAAATTGTGTTAAATTGTTGTTCATATAAAAACAAAATTTCAAAAAATAAACACTAACGCCATATTTTTATCAACTGATAATATATTATAAAATTAGAACCGATTTTTAAGTACTGCCTTAACTTTAAAAGGCACTCATTTGCTCGAAAAGATGAATTCAAAAACTAGAGTATAGTCTTCACTGAAAGTAAATTATAAGCATAAATATATAAGAAATCTAAAAAATATTTTTTATTTTTAATTAATTATAATTATTTAAAAAATAAATAAATTTAATTAATGTATATATATATATATGTTCATATTATTATTTATTATAGATAATTAATTTTTCCCATACATGTAATTATATATTAATTTATTATATTTATATAAATAGAATATTTTTATATTATTATAAATTTCATAATTTTAAACTCAGCATAAAAAATTAAGCAGAAATATATAGCAATATATTAACTACAGATTAAAAAGTTGTATTATGACCTAACATAGTATAAAAGTCGTGTTATACTATATATAACAAGTAAATCATTTTCAAGATCTATAAAATTTTTTAAAAAAATATGTCAACAAATAAAATAATTTACATATATATGATTATATATATATTTGAATTAATTAATTATACATTATTTTATTTTCACATAAATGGCATTACTTTTGAATAATGAAAACGTTTAGAAATTCGCTCCTATATATGAATTTATAAAGTAAATTTTTATTATAAAAAAGTAAGTTTTACAGAAACTCGTTATCAAGTAAACATTTGATTAACAAATGTTTATTTGCTCTCTTCATATGAAGAAATTTTATTTAAAATTAACTTCTAGTTTATTGCTGAACACTTGTGTTTGATTCTTTACTTCTAGAAATTTAGTCAAACGGACGTAAAGTAATTTTATTGCACTTAATCTACAATTCCTAGTATATTTTATGGTGTTATTTAGGGGCTTACCAATGTAGGAATATTAACCGATAATGTATAAATATTTAGTCATTTTAAAATTGTAATAGTTTTATCGGTCATTTTAATATATTTGAATAGCAACCTATTCAAACGCTATAAGTAATTGTAATTTCGCAGATTCTGCAGGTTTCACTAAGAACTTGTTCACATAGCAAATTATAATTTAGTTTTATAGTTGCGCTCTTAAATGGAAATCTTGAATATTTAGTTATGTCTTGCTTTAGTTTATGAAAATTATTCACAGCAGTGGTGTCACTAGGCGATAGATAACCCCTTTCCCCTCTCAACAAAGAAAAATAACAACTGTAGCTAGGACAGTAGCTTAATTATGCGTAATGTTATTTAACTATATTTGCTAAATAACATTTCTGATATTACTAGTAACTGTAGTCAGCGATTGCTGCTCAAGAGTATATGAGCATTAGATTACTTTATTTTCTGGAGAATTTCCTGTAGACATTTATCATATGTCAGCGACAAACAATTGAAGATTAAATATAAGAGGATCAAATATAAGAGTAAAATTATAATAAATTTGAAACGTAAGTTCAAGTTAAATCGTAAGCTGAACCTGAAACGTAAGCTAAAGCTGAAATGTAAATTAAACCTGAAACGTAAGCTAAAGCTGAAGCCGAAA